CAAGAGCTGGGATTACAGGCGCATGCCACCACGCCCAGTCTCAACTGCTGTCTCAGCATGCCCTGGGGTCAGGGCTAGCATGGCAGGCCTGGGGATCGAACTCCTGGCCCTTGTTCCTGTTTGCAAGCTCTTTAATCCACTGAGCTATTTAGCTGGCCCCCTAATCTTCTAAAATGATATTAATCTAGGCCTAGAAGATTCTTAGCTTTACTCAGTACTGCTAAATTAGAGATATGACTAAATTTAGACCACACGGAGAAACACAGCTTGATTTCTTTTGGCTGTAATTCAGCTAACATTCACAGCCATGGAAAAATATCATGAAAGGGAGCCTGAAATGTCTGGGTGTGCCAGATGGAATGACTATAAACACTGGCCCAAGGCTGGCATCCTCAGCCCTGGCCAGCAAGAGGGAGGAAAGCCTGTGTCATTTGCAACTCAGCTGTGGTTTCAGCCTGGAAATCTGAAAAGGAAGATCATTCCTCAACAGCGCTATTCTTAAGAAATTTGCCTGAGTCTGCCCCCTGAGCCTTGCCTCACCAGCAGCTCATATGTAATAACAGTTTTATGTGGTTGTTCTACTTTTGAGAACCTGAGTATTATTTTTTTTTTAAGTTACTATTTGAATGACAACATGCAAAAGCATGTTTTCTCTGTTGCAATTTGCTAATATGAAGATTTTTTTTCAGGTTTTTTCATTAAAGGTGAATGAAAGTGCTTTTTATTTTATACATTGGACAGAAAATGAGAGCATGGTTTATTTCACAATCCTGATGAAATTTCCTGTGTGCTCCCTAGCTCTGAAGTCTTTTTTGGAGAAAGCCATGATGTTAGCTCTCTATTCTGCTCAGAGAGTGAATCTTTCCACATACTTATACCTAACTGAGGAAAAGAGATGTATCTTTTAATGTCATGCAAATCTACAGGTAGCCTCTTGCTTGTAAATATGTATCCCAAAGAGGAAAAGAGTTTACCTGAAAATGGAAGAAATCATGGCCAATTTAATGGAATAAACCTCCATGAATGAATTAATATATGCAGGAATATACAACAGGAAGCCTGGTGAATTTCTAAATTGAAGCAACAGTTTTAAAGCTTTTTGTTTTGTTTTAAACTGTAAAAACAACATTTTCATCGGGACAATTTTAAGCACACAGACTTTCTGTCAGCCCTCTTGTGGCACAAGTGGGTAATGGCAAAAAAGATCATTGTCCTGGAGCACAGTCCACACTGTACAAGGTTTCTTTTAGAGTCAGAAGGAATGTTTTCTTATATGAGTTATAGGTGTAAATTGGATTTAAAATATCACAAAAGAGCTAGCTTAGGACAATAGCCAGCTACTCAGGAGCAAGAGGTTCAAAAGTTTGAGTCCTGCCCGAGCAATTTAAGGAGACCCTGTCTCAAAAAGAAAAACAATAACAACAACAAAACACAAAGGAAATACAGGGGTAGGTGTAAAACACCATGAAATGGAATATATTACTCAAGGAGCAAAAGAACAATTAGTCTAAGCACCTAGAAATTATTCCCAGACATTTGTCTTGTGACCAGAATAGTTTAAACATTTTTCTCATCTTAAAAGCCTTTTGATTCTTAAATGCTCACATTTTAAAATGAACTGTTC